TCTGTGCAGAGTACAGGCTGGGGACCCCAAGGTTAAGGTGGGAAAGTTTTAGGGAGGTTGCTGTGGTCTTCTCTCAGATCCACCAGCAACTGTGCATCGGTGGTATGTGATGCCTCCCTGTCCCATATGCCTTTCCAGTACCTCTCATTTTCCAGCCTTGATGGGTCTGCCCTGGTGTTATTACCCTGCCATTGAGAGTACACTTTCGCATGTTGTGTTGCTAACAGGGGGTTCATTCATCTGGCTTCGTCATCTTGCATGTTTATTATTAATTTATTTAGTTTATTTTAGTTAATTCTGCGGGCTCCGAGCTCTGGCTCCGGCCTGGTCATGGGCTCTGAGCCTCTGAGGGGGTCTAAGCTCCGGCCGAGCCGCAGGCTCCGAGCTCCAATTCACGGGTCTTTCTTCTCCTCCTTCCAGATGCCCCTGAGTCCAAATAGAAGTGTCCAGTGCAGTTTTAGATTCATGGGTTTTCGTAGCTGCGGTGTCGCTTATATTTGCTATCACAAGGTATTCGCGAAGGCCTGTAAGATATATATATATATATATATATATATATATATATATATATATATATATATATATATATATATATATATAAAATAATGTGTTTCTCACCTTCCATGGTGGTAGGTCTCTCTCACCCTCATTCAGCGCTGGTCCTCTACCAGAGACCTGGGAGCTTGAGAGTTCTGCGCAGTATCTTTGCTGTTCCCAGTACTGCACTTTTCTTTTAATTAAGCAAATTACACTATAAGAAAGTTTTTTTATGCCAGCCTCGTTTTCATATAGTCATATTGTCCATTTTGTGACATGTTCTCAGCTCCAGTGTTAAGTTAGACTTGGTTCCATATCAAGAAAAATTTGTCTTCGTAATCTGGCAAAGTTTCATGCTTGTACCATAAAAGCAAACTATTTTGGTCCTTAGTAGCTCCACTAAATGAACAGGAGCGGTGACAAAGGGCAGCCCTGGCAGAGTTCACCATGCACCAGAAAACAGGTCTGACTTACTGCTGGCAATTTTTTGGTAATGCAGTTTTAAAATGTTTATTGATTATTTGATTGCAGTGAAAGTGACTCGTAACAAAAAATCGAACAAATTTAAGTGCCTTTAGTAACCTTGCTGAACTTGGTCATGCAAAAGCCCAGCTTGGTTTCAGGAATAACCCATCTGTGTTCGCCTTTGTCATATAGTTTATCTGCGTTGTGTTGTGAACAAATGGCAAGGACATGGTGCTGTCTTTTGTGGGTTTAATCAGCATGACACAAATAATGTACTGGTCAGGAAACCTGGGCTCAACACAGCAAACAGAGCAAGTCACATGAGCATCTAACAGTTAGCTTCTGTCACGATATGTGCAGCAGTCTATTACTGTGTAATAACTCAAACATTGCACAGTACATGAGCTCATCAATGCCCCAAATGACATAAATAAGATGGACATTTAGGCTGTGATCACAGAATGAATAATTAAACAGAAATACACTATTTTTACCGACACCACCACATGCCCATCTCTCATGAACTGTCACTATGCTCACAGTGCCAGGGGGCACGTATCACTGCCGTCATTACAAGAGGGCTCTAATCAACCAAAATTGACTAACCCAATAAGAGTAATGACAAGTGGAAACAAACACCATGTAATCTCTGTTACACATTTAACTGAGTAATTGCGAAAATTGAAATGAATCTTTACTTACCCCAGAGGTGTCCAAACTTTTTTCATCACGGGCCACATATCTAAACACAGACGAATCAGCGGGCCAATTGAGGGCCATAGACTGATGCTCAGTACAGGGAATAACTGCAATATGTGCATGTTTAACATCACAACAAAGTCATCAGTCTTTTTTCATGCTAAGATCCTTAAAGCGACACACAAAATATTAAATAGTATCTTTATCAAGGTAGATTTTCAAAAAACTTGCAGTAAAAAATTACTTTTTAATTGATGCAAGATCATTTGTGCCAATTCACCTGGAAGCCTGAGGGCCAAGAAAAATTTGTCTGAGGGCTGCATTTGGCCCCCGGGCCAGAGTTTGGACATGCTTAACTTACCCTTTTTTGTTGTCTGCCTCAGGTGTTTTGGCTAAAAGAGTCACTAAAGAGTCACTAATGCATGCTCTCGGGCTGAATGTAATCCCCTATAAAGCATATGTAAAGTGTGCACTATAGCGCCCCCTAGCATACACATTAAACATCATCATTGTCAGATTTTTACCAAATTTGGGAATTCATTTCTATGGACTAGAAACAAAAACATATCTTACCAACATGGAGTATTTTTCGCGGTTGGCCAGCAGGGGTGCAAATATACTTGAAAACATTTAAAGTTGCACTATGTTTGCCAGGCGTGGCTTGTGCAAGGCAAGGGCCGTTTGACGCCACTTCTGGCTTTACTGTAATTTATCAATGTTTCTTTCGAGAAGCATATGCAAAATATTCACTTAAATATATTAGAAAATCTACACAATGTGCATGCTATTATATTTTAATTGTTTGAGCATTTGAAAGTTGCAAAATGTTACCCAATTATGGAACAAAACCTTTCTGCACTGGAGCTCTGTAACACTTTATTTGTAACTGTGTGTTTAGATGTGTTTATTGTGTATAATGTGGATGAATGAAATGAAATGTGGGACCAGCCTCTCAAATCTGCAAAACAAATTTACCTACAGGTAGAAATAAATCAACCGAACCTATAATAACCTTTCATTTTACAAATACTTAATGAAACTTGGATGAATAGATTTGTGTCAGCAGCCGTCACTCAGTCCTGCTGTGCTCTTGTTTATCTAGATCAGGGGTGTCAAACTCAAGTCAAAAACTGAGTCATGGGCCAAACTAAATATTTATTGAAAAATTCCAACAACATCTACATGTTTTCTCTTCTTTTGAGATATGTAATGTTAAACCTTTTCTCATTAAAATAAATGTTTAATAATAGTTTTGGTTAAACTTTGAATCCAAAACAAGCATAATTTTAAATATTTTTAACCGCCAGCTACAGAGACATTTTAAATAAAAAATGTCTCTGTAGCTGGCGGGCAGCTCTAATACACATTTGATATGATCTCACAGGCCAAATATAATTATATTGTGGGCCAACTTTGGCCCCCGGGCCTGAGTCTGACATGCCTGATCTTGATCCATTCCCAAGCACTCACACTGTAAATTTAGTCAGTTTAACTCGAGACAGGTGACCTTCTGGGAAGTCATCAACAATCAAGTGCACGAAAAATGACACCAAACATATATATTGCCCTTGCAGGGTAAGTAGTATTTTTAGATTACATATTAGATTACTTACAAGATGGAAACGATTATATAAATAGATCAATAGTTATATAATAGATAGTTAATTTACAGTTTACTTTACATGATGTAAATATGTTTAATAACACTTATGTTCAACATATGTGCCAAAGAGGTGAATTCTAATTTCAATAAATATTTCAAGATACATTTCAATTCTTCTTCTGGCCAGTCCTTCACAATATACAATGGCAAGATATGACTTCATAGTGAACCTTCTAAGAGGGCCAGCTCCAACATATCTTCTTGGGATTACCTGCTTGTGTAAAATATTTCTACATTGTAAACATTGATAGACAAGAATGGTACCATATTATTCAAGTGTGCAGTCATTTAAAGCAGAAAAAAGGCACAGACTCCCAGCAACAAATGGAGTAAATCTAATCGAGGGAAATAGGCAGCACTAGCAGTAGTTGTAGATGTTGAAGTTGGGGCTGCAGTTGTTGTAGTTGATGCAGCTGTGGTTGTTGTAGTTGGGGTAGTTGTAGTTGGGGCGGGAGTAGTTGTAGTTGGTGCAGTAGTAGTTGTAGTAGGGGCGGGAGTAGTTGGAGTTGGTGCAGTAGTAGTTGTAGTAGGGGCGGGAGTAGTTGGAGTTGGGGCAGGAGTAGTTGTAGTTGGGGCAGGAGTAGTTGTAGTTGGGGCAGGAGTAGTTGTAGTTGTAGTTGGTGCAGGAGTAGTTGTAGTTGGTAAAGAAGTAGTTGTAGTTGGGGCAGGAGTAGTTGTAGTTGGGGCAGGAGTAGTTGTCGTTGGGGCAGGAGTAGTAGTAGTTGTAGTTGGGGCAGGAGTAGTAGTTAGTAGTTGTGTTGGGCAGGAGTAGTAGTAGTTGTAGTTGGGGCAGGAGTAGTTGTCGTTGGGGCAGGAGTAGTAGTAGTTGTAGTTGGGGCAGGAGTAGTTGTAGTTGGGGCAGTTGTAGTTGTAGTTGTTATTTTGTTACAATCATCAGTTGAACATCCGGAGCTTGGTCCAGTCACAGTTTGGTAAGGGGACAGTTCAGGTAGAAGTGTGTTCAGAACAGAGTTGGAGCAGCACGTGTTTGGTGAGGCACAGCCGTGGACTGGGATCGATGATGAAGTTGTTGTTGCTGAAAAATCAGAACAGTTGTAGTAATCATAATAATAACAGATAATCAGAAGTTTGAGTTGAAATTGAGCTGGTGTAATTTCAGCCTGGAAGACCTAACTTCACTCCCATCTACATCACTGCTTCTCCACAGTTTACCTGCTCCTCAGCCTTTATCACCTCACTCCAAATCCTCCTCTCCGCCGCTCGTTGCACTTCCTCTCTGTCCATTCAGTGCCCACTGTGCCCACTTTAATCCCCCATGGCAAAGGCGCATTAGCTTCAGTTTGTGCCACACTCCACCTCCTGCTTCTCGGCTTCTCATCACTCTTCACTCTCCTCGGCCTCACCTCTACCACCTCCAGTGTCCAGGCCCCAAGGTGAAGACTCCTAAACGTCACGTCTGAGTGCCAAAGCCAACTCATTCAACAAAACTTACTAATACTTTCTCTTTGTGTCTGTCTGAGTCTCTCCAGGTTTTACTTTCATTATTTTAAACATGTTATTTATGAGCTCACAAGAAGCAAATCAATATAGAATGTGTCTGTAAATAACAAGTGTGATCCACTGATTTAAGACAAACCTTTTGCTATGAAGCAGTTGGTCTCCAGTGTGTTACATTGTATAGAAGTATTGCATGGGCCTGTCAGAGGATCACAGGTCAGACATCGCCGGGAGCCAGGTCCAGGGGCGGTCGGCACTGTAATACACACCAGTACATCAGTACATCTTTAACCATAAACTCTTTATTTTCTTGGATTCCACAAATTTTATGTCTGTTGACTTAACAGTTTTTGTTTAGTGTTTTTTCAACTTTGGACTTCTACAGATGAAGTGTACTCACGTGATGGGGTATTTTTGTTGCAGTTGTTTGATTCATTACAACAGGTGGCTTGTGCAAACACTTGACCAGATCCAGTGTTTAAGGAGTATGTCTGTGTGTCTGCAGCTGGACACAGCGAGGAGTCTGCACATTTCTTTATTATTCTGGTAGTAGTCGTTCCACCCTGAGTAACTGAAAAGGAATAAAACTTTGTAAATTATCCAAAACATATGTCATTTCAAAGAAAGAAAATATGAATGAATTTTGTGATGAAATTTTACTTTGTGTTGTTGATACAAAGCACATGGTGTGTGTTGTTGCACAGTCTTGCACTGTTGCTTGTTTGCAGGTTGGATCAGTGAGGTCTAAACAAACGCTACAACTGATTGTAGAACCTGTTGAAACACAACACAAATCATTTATAATAAAACACTGATGCTTCTCTCTTAAGTGCATAAATAATGTTCCCTGTTATAACACGTCTGTAAGTCTTTAACTGTCCTGGTAAAACACACAAATACATTCATACTACAAGAAGAGTCAAGTATTCTAAAGAAACATAAATAATAATGGACTTATTTGTACTTTCCCAAAAATGACCCATCATTATGAAAAACAAGTAAATGATACCAGAAGATACAAAGTAAGAAACACAAATTTTCATCCCTTTTAATATGACATGATTCCATATGATGTTTCTATTAATACTTGTACCAAGTACACAGCAGTATGCTGGTTGTGGAGATTGGCCTGTCCACACAATTCATACTGGATAATGTGAATAGTTAAACATTGTCTATTGAAAAGTCAAATAAACTGTAACATAATGTAAATCATAACAACAACAATAACAATAAAGAATTAAAGGGTATAATTAGGCCTGTAACGATAATCAATAAATCAATTAATCGTACGATAACTTTTAACGACCTCAATAACTTTTCCGTCCGTGATCAATTCTATTTGCATACTTGTTTGTTTTCATCGCTCTCTATCTCGCTCTCTCTCTCTCTCTCTCGCTCTCAAAGAGACTGAATGTCAGAAGGCTTCTATCACTCTCCGACTCCTCGTTTAACAAGTGTAATGACGCTTGAACCAACGTCCGCTGTGATGTGCGCTTTCTGCTCTCTGTGCGATCCGCTCGCAACACAAGCTAGCGCCGCTGTCAGAGTAACAAAACAGTTCATCTCTGTGTGACAAAACAAGTCATGATGCCGAATCAACACTTTTGAGCAGAACACTATTAAACAGCCACATGTGTCAAATGTAGCGAGCGCAAATGACGAGAAGAAATGTCTCAAACCTCAGCAGCCGACATAAACCCAAACCCGAGCAACAGAACTAGCCTACCCTCCGGGAGAGGCCAAAATCCCACAAGAAACCAACACAATACAGACAGGACAGAGACTCCCTCATAGTGAAATAGCATCCTATGTCGCGGGTTAATATGAACACTTCAAGACCAAAATGACGAGGCCACAGCAGCAGCCACAGAGAGATGAGACACAATATTCCAATGTAAGTCAGTGACTAAAATCACTTTTTAAGGGCATTTTTTTTACAGAGACTTAATACTCCATTTTATTTATTGCTTTGGTTGTATTTGGGTCAGCAGTGGTTTATTCAAGAGCATTTTTGTTAACAAGTCCTTGCTGTAAGCCAGAATACATTAGGCTAGTCCTGTGTTACCAAGTCTATTTTATTTAGGCTTGTTGTTTTTGAATGTCTTACACTTCCTGTGTTAAATGTTATTTGGAAAGTAAGGTTTATTGATCTTTGAAAGGGTGTATTTGCATTTTTATTCCATGGTCATTATATTAGTTGAAATTGGTTTCAAAATGTCAATATTATCGTTTATCGCAATAAATTCTTGGTCAATTAATCGTCCAGCAAATTCTGTTATTCTTACAGGCCTAAGTATAATAAATGTTACCTGGTGTAGTTGGTGCAGGAGAAGTTGTAGTTGGGGCAGGAGTAGTTGTAGTTGGAGCAGTAGTAGTTGTAGTTGGGGCAGGAGTAGTTGTAGTTGGAGCAGGAGTAGTTGTAGTTGGTGCGGGAGTAGTTGTAGTTGGAGCAGAAGTAGTTGTAGTTGGGGTAGGAGTAGTTGTAGTTGGTGCAGGAGTAGTTGTAGTTGGTGCAGGAGTAGTTGTAGTTGGTGTAGGAGTAGTTGTAGTTGGTGCAGTAGTTTGCGTGGTTGTAGGAGTAGTTGTTGTAGTTGGTGCAGGAGTAGTTGTAGTTTGGTGCAGTAGTAGTAGTTGTAGTTGGTGCAGTAGTAGTAGTTGTAGTTGGTGTAGTAGTAGTAGTTGTAGTTGGTGCAGGTAGTGTAGTTGTAGTTGGTGCAGTAGTTGTAGTTGTAGTTGGTGCAGTAGTAGTTGTAGTTGGTGCAGTAGTAGTTGTAGTTGGGGCAGGATTAGTTGTAGTTGGTGCAGGAGTAGTTGTCGTTGGTGTAGGAGTAGTTGTAGTTGGAGCAGTAGTAGTTGTAGTTGGGGCAGGAGTAGTTGTAGTTAGGGCAGGAGTAGTTGTAGTTGGGGTAGGAGTAGTTGTAGTTGGTGCAGTAGTAGTTGTAGTTGGTGCAGTAGTAGTTGTAGTTGGTGCAGTAGTAGTTGTAGTTGGGGCAGGATTAGTTGTAGTTGGTGCAGGAGTAGTTGTCGTTGGTGTAGGAGTAGTTGTAGTTGGTGCAGGAGTAGTTGTAGTTGCGGTAGGAGTAGTTGTAGTTGGAGCAGGAGTAGTTGTAGTTAGGGCAGGAGTAGTTGTAGTTGGTGCAGTAGTAGTTGTAGTTGCGGTAGGAGTAGTTGTAGTTGGTGCAGGAGTAGTTGTAGTTGGTGCAGTTGTAGTTGGTGCAGTAGTAGTTGTAGTTGGTGCAGTAGTAGTTGTAGTTGGTGCAGGAGTAGTTGTCGTTGGGGCAGGAGTAGTTGTAGTTGGTGCAGGAGTAGTTGTAGTTGGTGCAGGAGTAGTTGTCGTTGGGGCAGGAGTAGTTGTAGTTGGTGTAGGAGTAGTTGTCGTTGGTGTAGGAGTAGTTGTAGTTGGTGCAGGAGTAGTTGTAGTTGGTGCAGGAGTAGTTGTAGTTGGGGCAGGAGTAGTTGTAGTTGGTGCAGGAGTAGTTGTAGTTGGGGCAGGAGTAGTTGTAGTAGGTGCAGGAGTAGTTGTAGTTGGTAGTAGTGTAGTTGTGTAGTTGTTGGGCAGGAGTAGTTGTCGTTGGTGTAGGAGTAGTTGTAGTTGCAGCAGGAGTAGTTGTAGTTGGTGCAGGAGTAGTTGTAGTTGGTGCAGGAGTAGTTGTAGTTGGTGCAGGAGTAGTTGTAGTTGGTGCAGAGTAGTTGTAGTTGGGGCAGGAGTAGTTGTAGTTGCAGTGTAGTTGTAGTTTGCAGTGTAGTTGTAGTTGGTGCAGGAGTAGTTGTAGTTGGTGCAGTTGTAGTTTGGCAGGAGTAGTTGTAGTTTGGTACAGTAGTAGTTGTAGTTGGTGCAGTAGTAGTTGTAGTTGGTTGTAGTTGGTGCAGGAGTAGTTGTAGTTGGGCAGGAGTAGTTGTAGTTGGGGCAGAGTAGTTGTTAGTTGGTGGCAGGTAGTAGTTGTAGTTGGTGCAGTAGTAGTTGTAGTTTGGTGCAGTAGTAGTTGTAGTTGGTGCAGTAGTAGTTGTAGTTGGTGGTTGGCAGAGTAGTTGTAGTTGGGGCAGTAGTTGTAGTTGGTGCAGAGTAGTTGTAGTTGGTGCAGGTAGTAGTTGTAGTTGGTGCAGTAGTAGTTGTAGTTGGGCAGTAGTAGGTAGTAGTGCAGGTAGTAGTTGTAGTTGGTGCAGGTAGTAGTTGTAGTTGGTGGCAGGAGTAGTTGTAGTTGGGGCAGTAGTAGTTGTAGTTGGTGCAGTAGTAGTTGTAGTTGGTGCAGTAGTAGTTGTAGTTGGTGCAGTAGTTGTAGTTGTAGTAGTTGGTGCAGGAGTAGTTGTAGTTGGTGCAGTAGTAGTTTGTAGTTGGCGCAGGAGTAGTTGTAGTTGGTACAGTAGTAGTTGTAGTTGGTGCAGTAGTAGTTGTAGTTGGTGCAGTAGTAGTTGTAGTAGTAGTTGTAGTTGGGCAGGAGTAGTTGTAGTTGGGGGCAGGAGTAGTTGTAGTTGGTGCAGTAGTAGTAGTTGTAGTTGGGCAGTAGTGTAGGTAGTAGTAGTAGTTGGGCAGTAGTAGTTAGTAGTTGTAGTTGCAGTAGTAGTTGTAGTTGGTGCAGTAGTAGTTGTAGTTGTGTGTAGTAGTAGTTGTAGTTGGTGTAGTAGTAGTTGTAGTTGGTGCAGTTGTAATTGTAGTTGTTAATTTGTTACAATCATCAGTTGTGCAGCAGGAGCTTGGTCCAGTCACAGTTTCATAAGGGGACAGTTCAGGTAGAAGTGTGTTCAGAACAGAGTTGGAGCACGTGTTTGGTGAGGCACAGCCGTGGACTGGGATCGATGAAGGTGTTGTTGCTGAAAAATCAGAACAGTTGTAGTAATCATAATAATAACAGATAATCAGAAGTTTGAGTTGAAATTGAGCTGGTGTAAATTCAGCCTGGAAAACCTGACTTCACTCCCATCTACATCACTGCTTCTACAGTGTCCAGGCCCCAGGGTGAAGACTCCTAAACGTCACGTCTGAGTGCCAAAGCCAACTCATGCAACAAAACTTACTAAAACTTTCTCTTTGTGTCTGTCTGAGTCTCTCCAGGTGGAAATGTTTATCTTGTTTTTTAAATCCTTCAGGCTGAGGTTTTACGTTCATTATTTTAAACATGTTATTTATGAGCTCACAAGAAGCAAATCAATATGGAATGTGTCTGTAAATGACAAGTGTATTCCACTGATTTAAGACAAACCTGTTGTTATGAAGCAGTTGGTCTCCAGTGTGTTACATTGTATAGAAGTATTGCATGGGCCTGTCAGAGGATCACAGGTCAGACATCGCAGGGAGCCAGGTCCAGGGGCGGTCGGCGCTGTAATACACACCAGTACATCAGTACATCTTTAACCATAAACTCATAATTTTCTTGGATTCCACAGGTTTTATGTCTGTTGGCTTAACACTTTTTGTTTAGTTTTTTTTCAACTTTGGACTTCTACAAATGAAGTGTACTCACGTGGTGGGGTATTTTTGTTGCAGTTTGTTTTGTTACAACAGGTGGCTTGTGCAAACACTTGACCAGATCCAGTGTTTAAGGAGTATGTCTGTGTGTCTGCAACTGGACACAGCGAGGAGTCTGCACATTTCTTTATTATTCTGGTAGTAGTAGGTCCATCCTGAGTAACTGAAAAGGAATAAAAGTTTGTAAATTATCCAAAACATATGTCATTTCAAAGAAAGAAAATATGAATGAATTTTGTGGTGAAATTTTACTTTGTGTTGTTGATACAAAGCACATGGTGTGTGTTGTTGCACAGTCTTGCACTGTTGCTTGTTTGCAGGTTGGATCAGTGAGGTCTGAACAAACGCTACAACTGATTGTAGAACCTGTTGAAACACAACACAAATCATTTATAATAAAACACTGATGCTTCTCTCTTAAGTGCATAAATAATGTTCCCTGTTATAACACGTCTGTAAGTCTTTAACTGTCCTGGTAAAACACACAAATACATTCATACTACAAGAAGAGTCAAGTATTCTAAAGAAACATAAATAATAATGGACTTATTTGTACTTTTCCAAAAATGACCCATCATTATGAAAAACAAGTAAATGATACCAGAAGATACAAAGTAAGAAACACAAATTTTCATCCCTTTTAATATGACATGATTCCATATGATGTTTCTATTAATACTTGTACCAAGTACACAGCAGTATGCTGGTTGTGGAGATTGGCCTGTCCACACAATTCATACTGGATAATGTGAATAGTTAAACATTGTCTATTGAAAAGTCAAATAAACTGTAACATAATGTAAATCATAACAACAACAATAACAATAAAGAATTAAAGGGTATAATTAGGCCTGTAACGATAATCAATAAATCAATTAATCGTACGATAACTTTTTAACGACCTCAATAACTTTTCCGTCCGTGATCAATTCTATTTGCATACTTGTTTGTTTTCATCGCTCTCTATCTCGCTCTCTCTCTCTCTCTCTCGCTCTCAAAGAGACTGAATGTCAGAAGGCTTCTATCACTCTCCGACTCCTCGTTTAACAAGTGTAATGACGCTTGAACCAACGTCCGCTGTGATGTGCGCTTTCTGCTCTCTGTGCGATCCGCTCGCAACACAAGCTAGCGCCGCTGTCAGAGTAACAAAACAGTTCATCTCTGTGTGACAAAACAAGTCATGATGCCGAATCAACACTTTTGAGCAGAACACTATTAAACAGCCACATGTGTCAAATGTAGTGAGCGCAAATGACATAAACCCAAACCCGAGCAACAGAACTAGCCTACCCTCCGGGAGAGGCCAAAATCCCACAAGAAACCAACACAATACAGACAGGACAGAGACTCCCTCATAGTGAAATAGCATCCTATGTCGCGGGTTAATATGAACACTTCAAGACCAAAATGACGAGGCCACAGCAGCAGCCACAGAGAGATGAGACACAATATTCCAATGTAAGTCAGTGACTAAAATCACTTTTTAAGGGCATTTTTTTTTACAGAGACTTAATACTACATTTTATTTATTGCTTTGGTTGTATTTGGGTCAGCAGTGGTTTATTCAAGAGCATTTTTGTTAACAAGTCCTTGCTGTAAGCCAGACTACATAAGGCTAGTCCTGTGTTACCAAGTCTATTTTATTTAGGCTTGTTGTTTTTGTCTTACACTTCCTGTGTTAAATGTTATTTGGAAAGTAAGGTTTATTGATCTTTGAAAGGGTGTATTTGCATTTTTATTCCACGGTCATTATATTAGTTGAAATTGGTCTCAAAATGTCAATATTATCGTTTATCGCAATAAATTCTTGGTCAATTAATCGTCCAGCAAATTCTGTTATTCTTACAGGCCTAAGTATAATAAATGTTACCTGGTGTCGTTGTTGCAGGAGAAGTTGTAGTTGGGGCAGGAGTAGTTGTAGTTGGTGCAGGAGAAGTTGTAGTTGGGGCAGGAGTAGCTGTAGTTGGAGAAAGTTAGTAGTTGCAGAGAATTGTAGTTGGGGTAGGAGTAGTTGTAGTTGTGCGGGAGTAGTTTGATTGTGTAAGGATAGTCGTAGTTGCGGTAGGGTGTGAGTTGGGGCAGAGTAGTTGTAGTTGGGGCAGTAGTTGTAGTTGGGTAGGTAGTAGTTGTAGTATGTGTAGTAGTAGTTGTAGTTGGTGCAGGTAGTAGTTGCAGGAGTAGTTGTAGTTTGGGCAGGAGTTAGGTAGTAGGTTGTAGTTGGGGTAGGAGTAGTTTAGTTTGTGGTGTAGTTGTAGTGCAGTTGGGAGAGTAGTTGTAGTTGGTGCAGGAGTAGTTGTAGTTGATGCAGTAGTTGTAGTGGTGCAGGAGAGTTGTAGTTTGTAGTTGGTGTGAGTAGTTGTAGTTGCAGAGTAGTTGTAGTTGTAGTTGGGCAGGGTAGTTGTAGTTGGGGCAGGAGTATTGTAGTTGGGTAGGAGTAGTTGTCGTTGGGCAGGAGTAGTTGTCGTTGGGGCAGGAGTAGTTGTAGTTGTGGAGTAGTTGTAGTTAGTGCAGGAGTAGTTGTAGTTGGGGTAGGACTAGTTAGTTCAGAGTAGTAGTTGTAGTTGTAGTTGGTGCAGGAGTAGTTGTAGTGTAGTTGTAGTTGTGTAGGAGTAGTAGTTTGTAGTTGGTGCAGCAGTTGTTAGTTTGTAGTGTAGAGTAGTTGTAGTTGGGTAGGAGTAGTTGTCGTTGGTGCATGAGTAGTTGTAGTTGGGGGCAGAGTAGTTGTAGTTGGGCAGAGTAGTTGTAGTTGGGGCAGGAGTAGTTGTAGTTGGGTAGGAGTAGTTGTCGTTGGGGCAGGAGTAGTTGTCGTTGGGCAGGAGTAGTTGTAGTTGGTGTAGGAGTAGTTGTAGTTAGTGCAGGAGTAGTTGTAGTTGGTAGGACTAGTAGTTGGTGCAGGAAGTAGTTGTAGTTGGTGCAGTAGTAGTTGTAGTGAGTTGTAGTTGGTGCAGGAGTAGTTGTAGTTGTAGTTGTAGTTGCAGGAGTAGTTGTAGTTGGTGCAGTAGTAGTTGTAGTTAGTGTAGTTGTTGGGGCAGGTAGTAGTTGTAGTTGGTTGCAGAGAGTAGTGCAGGAGTAGTTGTAGTTGTGGGCAGTAGTAGTTGTAGTGGGGCAGGCAGTAGTAGGCAGGTAGTAGTTTGTAGTTGGTGCAGGAGTAGTTGTAGTTAGTTGTAGTATTTAGTTGCGTGCAGTAGTTGTAGGAGTTGTAGTTGTAGTTGTTGGGCAGGAGTAGTTGTAGTTGGGGCAGGAGTAGTAGTTAGTTAGTAGTTGGGGCAGGAGTAGTTGTATTGGCAGGAGTAGTTGTAGTTGGGTTGGCAGGAGTAGTTGTAGAGTTGTGTAGTTGTAGTTGGTGCAGGAAGTAGTTGTAGTTAGTAGTTGGTGCAGTAGTAGTTGTAGTTGGTGCAGTAGTAGTTGTATTTGGGCAGGAGTAGTTGTAGTTTGCAGGAGTAGTTGTAGTTGGGGTTAGTAGTAGTTGTTGGAGTAGTTGTAGTTGTTAATTTTGTTACAATCATCAGTTGTGCAGCAGGAGCTTGGTCCAGTCACAGTTTCATAAGGGGACAGTTCAGGTAGAAGTGTGTTCAGAACAAGTTGGAGCATGTGTTTGGTGAGCACAGCCGTGGACTGGGATCGATGATGAAGTGTTGTTACTGAAAAATCAGAACAGTTGTAGTAATCATAATAATAACAGATAATCAGAAGTTTGAGTTGAAATTGAGCTGTGTAAATTCAGCCTGGAAAAACCTGACTTCACTCCCATCTACATCACTGCTTCTACAGTGTCCAGGCCCCAGGGTGAAGACTCCTAAACGTCACGTCTGAGTGCCAAAAGCCAACTCATTCAACAAACTTACTAATACTTTCTCTTTGTGTCTGTCTGAGTCTCTCCAGGTTTTACTTTCATTATTTTAAACATGTTATTTATGAGCTCACAAGAAGCAAATCAATATAGAATGTGTCTGAAATAAAAGTGTATTCACTGATTTAAGACAAACCTGTTGTTATGAAGCAGTTGGTCTCCAGTGTGTTACATTGTAAGAAGTATTGCATGGGCCTGTCAGAGGATCACAGGTCAGACATCGCAGGGAGCCAGGTCCAGGGGCAGTCGGCGCTGTAATACACACCAGTACATCAGTACATCTTTAACCATAAACTCTTTATTTTCTTTGATTCCACAGATGTTTTCTTTGTTGATTTANAGTAGTTGTAGTTAGTAGTGTAGTAGTTGTAGTTGTAGTTGTTGGTGCAGGAGTAGTTGTAGTTGTTAATTTGTTACAATCATCAGTTGTGCAGCAGGAGCTTGGTCCAGTCACAATTTCATAAAGGGACAGTTCAGGTAGAAGTTTGTTCAGAACAGAGTTGGAGCATGTGTTTGGTGAGGCACAGCCGTGGACTGGGATCGATGATGAAGTTGTTGTTGCTGAAAAATCAGAACAGTTGTTGGTAATCATAATAATAAGAGATAATCAGAAGTTTGAGTTGAAATTGAGCTGGTGTAAATTCAGTCTGGAAGACCTAACTTCACTCCCATCTACATCACTGCTTCTCCACAGTTTACCTGCTCCTCAGCCTTTATCACCTCACTCCAAATCCTCCTCTCCGCCGCTCGTCGCACTTCCTCTCTGTCCATTCAGTGCCCACTGTGCCCACTTTAAACCCCCATGGCAAAGGCGCGTTAGCTTCAGTTGTGCCACACTCCACCTCCTGCTTCTCGGCTTCTCATCACTCTTCACTCTCCTCGGCCTCACCTCTACCACCTCCAGTGTCCAGGCCCCAGGGTGAAGACTCCTAAACGTCACGTCTGAGTGCCAAAGCCAACTCATTCAACAAAACTTACTAATACTTTCTCTTTGTGTCTGTCTGAGTCTCTCCAGGTGGAAATGTTTATCTTGTTTTATAAATCCTTCAGGCTGAGGTTTAACTTTCATTATTTTAAACATGTTATTTATGAGCTCACAAGAAGCAAATCAATATAGAATGTGTCTGTAAATAACAAGTGTATTCCACTGATTTAAGACAAACCTGTTGTTATGAAGCAGTTGGTCTCCAGTGTGTTACATTGTATAGAAGTATTGCATGGGCCTGTCAGAGGATCACAGGTCAGACATCGCAGGGAGCCAGGTCCAGGGGCGGTCGGCGCTGTAATACACACCAGTACATCAGTACATCTTTAACCATAAACTCTTTATTTTCTTTGATTCCACAGATTTAATGTTTGTTGACTTAACACTTATTTTCTATAACTAATGAAGTGTACTCACGTGATGGGGTATTTTTGTTGCAGTTGTTTGATTCATTACAACAGGTGGCTTGTGCAAACACTTGAACAGATCCAGTGTTTAAGGAGTATGTCTGTGTGTCTGCAGCTGGACACAGTGAGGAGTCTGCACATTTCTTTATTGTTCTGGTAAAAGTATTTCCACCTTGAGTAACTGTAAAGGAATAAACATTTTTAAATTACCCAAAACATATGTCATTTGAAAGAAAGAAAATATGAATGAATTTTGTGATGAAATTTTACTTTGTGTTGTTGATACAAAGCACATGGTGTGTGTTGTTGCACAGTCTTGCACTGTTGCTTGTTTGCAGGTTGGATCAGTGAGGTCTGAACAAACACTACACCTGATTGTAGAATCTGTTGAAACACAACACAAATCATTTATAATAAAACACTGATGCTTCTCTCTTAAGTGCATAAATAATGTTCCCTGTTATAACACGTCTGTAAGTCTTTAACTGTCCTGGTAAAACACACAAATACATTCATACTACAAGAAGAGTCAAGTATTCTAAAGAAACATAATTCATAATGAACAGATTTATGCATTTCCCAAAAATGACCCATCAATTTGAAAAACAAGTAAATGATACCAGAATATACAAAGTAAGAAACACAAATGTTCATCCCTTTTAATATGACATGATTCCATATGATGTTTCTATTAATACTTGTACCAAGTACACAGCAGTATGCTGGTTGTGGAGATTGGCCTGTCCACACAATTCATACTGGATAATGTGAATAGTTAAACATTGTCTATTGAAAAGTCAAATAAACTCTAACATAATGTAAATCATAACAACAATAGCAACAACAATAAATCCTTAAAGGGTATAATAAATATTACCTGGTGGAGTAGTTGTAGTTGGGGCAGGAGTAGTTGTAGTTGTTAATTGTTACAATCATCAGTTGTGCAGCAGGAGCTTGGTCCAGTCACAGTTTCATAAGGGGACAGTTCAGGTAGAAGTGTGTTCAGAACAGAGTTGGAGCATGTGTTTGGTGAGGCACAGCCGTGGACTGGGATCGATGAAGGTGTTGTTGCTGAAAAATCAGAACAGTTGTCGTAATCATAATAATAACAGATAATCAGAAGTTTGAGTTGAAATTGAGCTGGTGTAAATTCAGTTTGGAAGACCTAACTTCACTCCCATCTACATCACTGCTTCTCCACAGTTTACCTGCTCCTCAGCCTTTATCACCTCACTCCAAATCCTCCTCTCCGCCGCTCGTCGCTCTTCCTCTCTGTCCATTCAGTGCCCACTGTGCCCACTTTAAACCCCCATGGCAAAGGCGCATTAGCTTCAGTTTGTGCCACACTCCACCTCCTGCTTCTCGGCTTCTCATCACTCTTCACTCTCCTCGGCCTCACCTCTACCACCTCCAGTGTCCAGGCCCCAGGGTGAAGACTCCTAAACGTCACGTCTGAGTGCCAAAGCCAACTCATTCAACAAAACTTACTAATACTTTCTCTTTGTGTCTGTCTGAGTCTCTCCAGGTGGAAATGTTTATCTTGTTTTTGAAATCCTTCAGGCTGAGGTTTTACTTTCATTATTTTAAACATGTTATTTATGAGCTCACAAGAAGCAAATCAATATAGAATGTGTTTGTAAATAACAAGTGTATTCCACTGATTTAAGACAAACCTGTTGTTATGAAGCAGTTGGTCTCCAGTGTGTTACATTGTATAGAAGTATTGCATGGGCCTGTCAGAGGATCACAGGTCAGACATCGCAGGGAGCCAGGTCCAGGGGCGGTCGGCGCTGTAATACACACCAGTACATCAGTACATCTTTAACCTTTAACTTTATTTTCTTTCATTCCACAAATCTTATGTTTGTTGACTTAACACTTATTTTCAATAACAAATGAAGTGTACTCACGTGGTGGGGCATCTTTGTTGCAGTTGTTTGATTCATTACAACAGGTGGCTTGTGCAAACACTTGACCAGATCCAGTGTTTAAGGAGTATGTCTGTGTGTCTGCAGCTGGACACAGCGAGGAGTCTGCACATTTCTTTATTGTTCTGGTAGTAGTCGTTCCACCCTGAGTAACTGTAAAAGAATGAAAGTTTGTAAATTATTCAAAACATATGTCATTTGAAAGAAAGAAAATATGAATGAATTTTGTGATGAAATTTTACTTTGTGTTGTTGATACAAAGCACATGGTGTGTGTTGTTGCACAGTCTTTCACTGATGCTTTTTTGCATGTTGGATCATTGAGGTCTGAACAAATGCTACACCTGATTGCAGAACCTGTTGAAACACAACACAAATGATTTATAATAATGCATAAGTAAAGTTCCCTGTTTTCACACGTCTGTAAGTCTTTAACTGTCCTGGTTAAAAAAGAAAATAAAAAATCAAGTGTAATCCACATTACTTCGCCCCAATTCCGGTTACAACTTTATCGTGGCGGGATAATTTCCTGTAAGTTCCGGTGTCACTTGTGTCACGTCCTGTTGTTCCTCTCTTCTGGTACTACTCTCGCTCTGGCTCGATCATTTGAATGGAAACAATTAAAACCTCTGATCTAACAAATAGTAGTGAACGGATTCATTCAACCATCAATCCCAATCATTTTCCACTCAATGTAGAGTGAAGAAACTCAATTCAAAAGATATTTGTACGAACTTGTGAACACCCCTGCAAAATGCTGCTAAACTAATGCTAACATAGCATACAAACAAATGCATTTGGCAATTTATGAATCCTATTATGGCCACGCTGCCGAAGAGAGCTGCTGGAGAAGATGTGAAAGTCAGACGATTGTTTTGTTTTGCCGCTGGAACTAAAGAAGTTGGCTCATGTCTCTAGCTGAGGAATTTCACTGTTCATCATTTACAACGTGAACGATCTCATATTAACGTTTCACTCTTCCTATAAACTCAAAACACAGGATTATGTGATAGTAAACACATGAAACACTGAAACATGAATTAGGTAGGCTACACCTAACCTACGTTAGGAAGCCAATTAGTGGACAACAACAAAATGCTTTTTGGATATGAAAATAAATAATATAATGTGGACAACTGTACAGCAGTGGTAAACCTGAAGTTATTTAAATGTACAAGCATCAAGAAAAGTATATCCCACAATATAATAAATAATATAAATAGACATTTACTGAGTGTTCCATAAATAACAACAGGCAGTGTAGACTTTAGCAGTCTGTACAAATGCAAGTTGTGGCTGCTAAAATCTGTTAAGGTTCTTATTGTTCATTTTTACAAATCTACACGCAATAGAAATACTAATACTGCAGTCTGTGTGAATGCAAAGTGTTTACTGACAATCTGTTCAAATCTGTGTGAATGCAGAGTTTACTTTAAAATTGTAATACTTCATGGTTAAAGTCTGTTAAGGTTCACATCGTTCATTTTTACAAAGCTTTTCACACATGAAGTGAAAAACTAATACATAAAAATCTGTGTCAATGCAGAATTGCTGGCAAAAAAAAAAAAAGCCAAATTGTTATAACTTCAACACAAAACCTGAACCAATAGGCTGACTGCTAAACACATAAATGATGCAGACCTGCTGCTACTGCATTTCTAACGAAGAGATGGAGAAAATCAGGGCTAACGTAGACTTTATGGAAGGTATCCTGTTATTTTGAAGCAGTTGGTCTCCAGTGCGTTACATGGTTTAGAAGTATTGCATGGGCCTGTCAGAGGATTACAGGTCAGACATTGCAGGGAGCCAGGCCCAGGGGGCAGGAGTAGTTGTAGTTGGTGCAGGAGTTGAATAGAGTGGGCCTATTCATCTATTTTGTTTTTACCAGCCAACATTATCCTTTATTACTTAAGGAACATATTTAACATGGTTATTGTCATATCATAAAACAGATGCCACATCCAACTAGCAGTAAATATGATTTTTATTCATTGATTTATTTGCGTTTGTTATATGTTAGAATAAATAGAGAAGGGGAGATTTTTTTTTTTTTTTTTTTTTTTGTATTACTTAACTTTTATTAGTAATACATTTCCATACACTTCCTTAGTATTTTGGCAGAATGAACTTAACTGTTTCCCACACCCATGTTTCATATTTGGGATGATGTTCTGAGCTCGCCAGCTTTCCCCTTTTGACTAATAAAAAAATGCTGCTCTTTTTTAAGCTAGACTGACTGGACTAAAATCTGTAGCCTTCACATCTGTTGTCATGAAAATCTAAAAGACTCTCTCAAGACCTTTAATAGTTTAATAAATACAGTATCTATGGTAGGCATTGTAAACTCCAAACACTTATTAAAATCTCGACAATGACAAGCTTTATTGTGAATAAAAGAATTAAGAAATGCACCTCTCCTTCTCCATAACTGAATAGGTCAGTTCAGTATTTATCATGTTATCTAGTACCAGACTATATCTGCATTTCTTTACCCTCATGATGTCTTATTCTCAAGATGGCACTTATTTCTTGCTAGATTTTTCATAAATGTCACCAAAAGACGATATAGGCTGCTGCTAGCGATGACGTTTGAAGCTCAACCAATCAGAAGCAGAGTTCGGTGAAGTGTGGCGTGATCATAGTAAAATTCCTAAATTTAAGGTTGGCACAATCAATAAGCTGCCTTTATTTATTTGTCCATTATGATAAACTCTAGCTACATTATGGACCTTGATTTATATTTTTGAAGGTGCAATATATTTTTGAATTGTTGCTTGATTTAATCTTATTATTATTAATGAAATGGAATTATTGCTATGAAGACCAAATGTTTATTGTTTTTTAAGTATAATCCTATGAAATATGGCTTTATAATAATAATTTCTTACTGTTTATTTATAAGCAGTCATGGTTTATTACTTGAGCTAAAGTTAATTCAATTTATTTATGAGAACTCAAACTGAACTTTGGGAAAAATAAAGAACTCAAATGGATCATAACAAACACTTTCTACAACTACTTGAACTTTATGAACTGAACTCTGAACTTTTTTGAGCAAATATATTACTGTGTGTCATTGCATTTTTGTTTTTATTTGTGTTTAAGTATATCTACCGACAGATAGTAATAATGTAATACAATTTATTACCTAATTATTATCTGTATCACTCGAACATATACACAAGAAATATTTATTGAGCCCATATCATTAATACAACTCATTTTAAACTGGATTTCTGTTTTTTGTGGTTTTATTCACACACTCTGACTCCTGCTGATCCTACTTGTGATCCCCCGAGGCTGCAGTTACTTCATTACAAACACATAATACAAATACAATCACACTCCAAGAAGACTCGAGCATTCTAATGAAACATAATTCAAAATGCACAGATTTAAGCATTTCCCAAAAATGACCCATCAAGTACACAGCAGTACGTCCACACAATTCATACTGGATAATGTGAATAGTTAAACATTGTCTATTGAAAAATCGAATAAACTCTAACATAATGTAAATCATAACAACAATAGCAGCAACAATAAAGTTTTAATGAGTATAATTAATGTTACCTGAGCTGCAGAAAGTCATTGTTAGAGCCAGAGAAAACAGTATCTGTCCTTTCATGTTGATCTCTCTGTAGTTTCCTCTGTGTTTGCTTTTAGATTACTTGGGGTTTGGAGATGCACCTGCAGCTTATATATGTTTGAGTTGAATGGGCTGTGGCTGTTTATGCATTTACTCAGAACTAAAGACTAAGATGAGAATGCATCACACCCACTTAATGTCCTGAGTGACAGATGAAACTAAACAAAGCATGGGTATTTAATAAACTGTGATGGAACCATGCACTCTAGCCAAGTTGAACTCAATTAAGAGACACAGGAATTCTATCGTACGTCAGTGCTGTACGTACAAGGAAACAGCCCCAATCTCTGTTCTTATGAAGTTTTTTTTTTTTTTTTAGTAAGACCCTGCTGTAGAGTTAAGAGATATAACGTGTAGAAAACTGCAGGAATAAATAACCTGAGAGTTATGTCATGAGGTTTTTGTTTTTTTTTAATGTGTCCTCTTTTATAGTTGGTATTAAATGTGATAATGTGTAAGTCTGATCACGCAGGTCACATTCATCTGACTGATGTGAAAAACTACAGACGCCGCCGGTATCACTAGAAAAGGCGAGAATTTAACAAAATTACACATTTAAACTTAATTAGACTTAGACAAACTTTAAACAAGGGAAACCACTTGGACACAGCAGCTCACACATAACAAAATATATGAATAACAAAGAAAAAATATTGAAATTATTTTAAGAAACAATAAATAATTAGTAAAAACACCAAGAGACTGATGTGAAATAAGGCAAAATTATATAAACGTATATGTACAAGTAAATAAAGTCATACAAATATTATACTCAATACAAATTAACAGCTGCAATGGAAAAACAGTGCAAAGACATTATGATTGACAGGACATAAGACAGGGTGAGTTGTAGGGAGCATTATATGTTACATAAGGGTGAATTGTTGTACAGCTGTAGGGAGTATTATCTGTTCCATAAGGGTGAGTTGTTGTACAGTTGTAGGGAGTATTATCTGTTCCTCTATAGTCTGGTGCAGTGGGAGAGCAGGAGTGTTCATGATGGAGAGCAGTTTGTCCAGTGTCCTCGTGTCCCTCACTGAGACAAACGTCTCCAGGTCACAGACGATAACGTGAGCAGTTTAACAGATCAGTTTGTCGATCCGCCCAATGTCCCTTTTACTGGAGCTGCTCCCCCAGCAGAACACAGACAAGTACAGGACGCTGGCCCCACAGAATGATAGAAGATCTCCAGTAACTGAAAGACCTGAGTTTTCTCAGGAAGTAGAATCTCCTCATGCTCTTCTTGTACACAGCATTACTGTTGTCCCTCCAGTCCAGTTGTTCACATGGTCTTCACTTGTAGCAGTCGACTATTTCCACATCATGGTCCTGGATGGTGACGGGCTTTTTTTTTAGTTTTTTGTTTTTTTGTTTTGTTTTATTTATTTAAAAAGGACAATGCATATTCATGAACATATACTTGTAAATACGCCAGAATTAGCCCAAAGGTACTTTTCATCTGTAGTCCCTGACAGGTCAGAGAGATAGAGACATAAAAC